CTGGCCCCAATGATGCCGACTGGAATGGGACTCAAACAGGAACTGGAGGTTTACAGTAAAGGCCTCGATGAAATGGAGTGGAATTTCGCCAAAGTTCAACCACCATCTGCACCTGGCAGAAGAGGTTCGACAACAACAGCAAGGCCGATAAGTAGCTATGGGCTCGGTGATAGTATGGGTAAAGCATGGGCTCCAGGTCATGGCGCAAGAAGAAGTGTCATTGTCGGAAATGGATTTGGTGGTTTCCTCGCCGTACCTGCAGATGAAGCTCCCAGACCCAGCAGTTCAGCTGGTGAAAAGAAGAGACATTCCAGGAAAAACAGCAGTCAGGATTTATGGCGGTGATTGTGTTGAACCGATCTCAATTTGATACTTTACCTTTTTGGGTTATTTCTATGAATCTTATCTGGATTTTTGTTACAATTTGGAAAATTCTGGTCCGGTCGCACATTTTCCTTTGGTTCTTTTTTTTTTAGAGTGAGTGGGAATCTCACAAACATCCTCACTTTATGAAGATGTATGGAGTACGCCAGGACATATTCGTGAATATTACTTTACTGCTTTACCTTGCGTGCTTGGAGCGTCTGTGTTTAATACCCCGAGGGCTCTTACGGTTTATGAATTGAGAACGGGGGATAAGAATAAGAATGGATAGTAGGGACAATTGATAGTTGATTTTTGGGATGCTTAGGGGTGGGATGGTTGGTGCAGATGATAGGATATCATAGGATAGTAGATAGCGAAATATAAAATGATTTTCACTATAGCCTATAGTAACCTCCATATCCAAATGAATAGTACTAGTAGTACTAGTACAATGTAGTTGGCAAATTTCAAGGAATTGGCAAGGAGCCTTTCAATTTAACACTCGTTTTTCCATTCCTTCATCTTAATCCACATCTACAGCCCGCAATATCTCAAACGCTCACTCTACACTTTTATAAAGATTTATGTTATTATGTCCATCTAGTATTTGCGATGCTGTATTTTAAGTCATCGATTTGGGAGATGCCTTAAGAAGTGTCATCTGGTGTATTTTTGGGTGGGGTTTGATGGATACTTCGAGTACCGGATTAATTGAAGAAGATGATTAATTTGAAGTCAGGATTGGAAGTAATTTGACAGTGATGGAGAGTCCGAAGGTCTTCTTTGCCGCTTCACTAATCCGTATTTTATAACCATCTTCATCGTGGTCCATATGATGTGTGTTGATAGATATGAGTGAGAAGGTGGAGCAGGACATACTCTTTTGATCGAAATAAGGGTGGTAGAAAAATGCGAGCTGGAGTGCCTGGCGGAGAGATGATTTTGTAGTATAGCGGTTCTGAAGGTTCGCAAATTGTGGAGTCGCGATGGTTTTTAAAATCTGTTAAGTCTGGGAGGCCATATCTATGGGAACCCCTCCCTGGGAGCCCGAGTGGCCGACCAGTAAGTGCAAGTGCGGAAATTTCATCGGGATAGTTTGCAGACACTCTGACTCTGCGAGATGGTAGAGCCGAAAGGATTGCCGGGACATCCTCATTACGTTCCCAAACGAGATGCTTCCAATACTCCTAGCTTTCAAGTCTGAAATAATCTTTTGAGCAAATTGGGCTCGGGACCCTATTAGTGTTGAGATCACAATTCTGGAATTACAATCTAACAGCCAAATTATAATCTCTTGACGAGAAAAATTCAGGCCTTGGAGTAGATCAACTCATTAGTTTATAATGATGAATTGGAAGGAGTTACAAAAGCTATATTTTTCCAGCAAAGTTGCAAAACCAGGAGATATATCATATATTGAAGATTTACCCTGACAATTAAGCGGGATTATATCGTTTAGAAACTTCCTCTGATAATTACAGTCAAGCGTCTCAAATCAGAGCAATCAAAGCAATCGAAACACTCGTGAGAATGAGAAAAGGGGCTGAGATCTCCCTCAGCTGGATAATTGGACACATCTCATTGAGTGGCAGCAAGCTAGACAATGCTCTTGCAAAGAAGCTATAAATAACGATTATTATCTCATTTCATACAATAAGTTTTGTCTTGCCAGGAATGTATAGTAATTAAACTAGCGAGATGAAACCCGATGACTAGATCAATTTACCTCACAAATCCAGGTACTATCATTCCAACCAATTCAAAAATCTATTCATGGAAAACCAATACCAACCCAAAGATTGAAATTTTAAGCCCTATCAAAAGAAATGAATGTTATCAGTGCTTCGTTTCAACTTGAAAGCAGTCACGGATACTTCATGTCATAATCATTTGAAATGCTTCGGAGCCTCGTCGAAGGATACATGTAAGTATAAAGGAAGCGTCTTGCTTGCTATTTATTTAAAGTGGCTAGAAGAAAACTTAAAGAAGATAACTCCATCTGGGTTTACTTTGAACCACTTCCTCCTCAAACAGAAATCATAAAAACCAACAACTTCATTAATACCACCGAAATTGCTCTTAAACTATGACATCTCTCCAGAAAATAGAAGACGAAATATATACTTCAGCGCGTTTGCAAGGCAACTTGAGCTGTCTGTTGGATAATATATATATATCAAGAGCGATATATTGCAATTGCAATTGCAACATTATTGGCGCTCTTCCTTCTCATGCTTAGCTAGTATAAAAAGTAAAAAGGTACATAGTGCCGAGAATTACCTTTTAGGGGAGAAATCCTGATAGTTTTCTCATCAGAGGATTTGTCTGCTTGTATGACCTAAGAGTCTTTACAAAACTTTTGGTTGGAGAATCTTTGGGTTTGAAGATCTGGATATACAGAGCCATGATGGTTATTACTTGACGCCTTGTTTTTGTAGTTGAGATTTCTTCTGGTGTGGCGTTTTGAGTATGTATTTCTGCTATTTGTAGAAGGCCTGTTCTGTTCTGTGGTGAGTTGGCATAATGGCCACGACGGAATATTGTTTTGCTTAGCAAAGAGATCGGTGTCAGGAAGAGCCTGTTATTAATCTATACAGTCGCATTGATAGATTGGGCGTACGTGGATATATACCATGATTTCAGCGCTTCATCACCTCGTTCCCCATCTTACCAAGTTATTATTTTGTCGAATAGAACCTTCTTGATGATATGGAGCCCTAGCATGGCCATGTCTTCTGACAATTTCGTGTTGTAACCATCCTCGTGAATCGCGGTCCCCAGCACGGACGTATTTCTTCAATTGTTTTCCGTCCACAACTGATGATGAGTCCTTTCTTTAAGGGAGGGGGTCGTGATTTTACAGGATAGAGGGCTTCTTCACCTTCTAATCCGCTCAGTTTTGGGCCATATATATTCAAGATCCTAAGAAATGACATGGGTTTCGGGAAGTCACGGCGCTGAGAAGTGATCTGCAAGATGATTTCTGGATTACACGCATAAAAACTCTACACTGTGTTCACTGTTGGCAAACAACGAATTAATCAGGATAGGAAAAAGAAGCAAGAGGATAAGAAGAATAGGAAATCGGCTTTTCGTGTTCTAAGAAGTTTTTATGTCGGATTTTAACCAGCGGAGAGGTCGAACGGCCTTGCTTCCCTTCGGAATTGAGTGATTATTTGCATGTGCTTCTGTGGTTTAGAAGTCATTAATTTGGGAGGGGCGACATAATTCCCAAAATATCAAACACCTTACCTTATACGGCTGAACTCTCAACACGCAGACAAGAACCAGTAGTATAATTTCCAATAACGCAGATGCCACGGAAATATTATCAAGAATAATGTCTGGTCAACACGATGTAATGGTCATCTATACCGTAATCCTCGATATTGATGCAATACCGTTGATTATAACCACCGCCTTATCTGACTTTGATCGGTGCTGAAGACGACAGGGTGTTACGTCGAGACTTCACAGGCTTGGCATCATATGACAGGAAGTCACGTGGAGGAGCGAGGGAGCGAAGGAGCGAGCCTTGGCCTTCGCTCCTCAGCTCCATCGCTCCAAAACAAGAGATTACACAGAATACGAAGGTCTATATAAGCAGAATAGGTTTCCTTATTGTAGAGCTTCGTGCTCAAGATCAATCATTTAGTATACTCTACTATTAGTTACGAATTGCAATCATTGTTACAGTTACTTAAAGTCCCTGTTTGACGTCTAGTTATAAACCATCTCGAGAGCCTAGAGCACTTCCACGTGATCTAGAAGGCAACCCTCGTAACACAGGGGTAGCACCATGGATTCTCCCGTCGAGTGTCAACACAAATCTGTTACGAGAGGTGATAGATATATCTCTGTAAAATTGGACGGACAACCATACATAGATAGTTTTTGGATGGAATGAGGGTGTTTCATTGCCAGACCCGAAGATGCAGAAACAAGGTATTGAGGCCATAACCCAATTGTTAAAGATACCTGCTGTGATAAAATTCTATTCCAAGTTCAACACACGGTAACCTTGGTTATATTATGTATGATAATATGTATGATTCTCGACGGTTTTCACATTTAGTCTCCTGCTAGCCTTGAGATTGAGATAAGGTTCCATTTTGTACGTGTTCAGTGGCCACCCACATCAAACAACCATCACATTTGCCTAGGAAAGAATGGTTGTGCTTATTTGGGGAATTTTGCTATATTACTATTATCTTTAGATTTCTGGCAAGCAATACGAATACCAAGAGCCTTTATTTGCTAGACGTGCCATCTGTATTAAATTGTCATTGATGTGAATATCCGTAAAATGATCCAAGTCTGAGTACGTGTTGATAGGATTCGGCATTTAGACATGTATTTAATGATCCATATATCAGTCTCATCTCGGGAGATACTCACAGACATGGTAAGTGCATTTATGGGAAATCAATAAAATATTTGAGGAAGACAGGTGTCTTGGGCATTAGCAAACAAAAGATGGAAGGACACGTTTCTCTGCCTATTTTCAAAATTCAGAAGAGTCCAGCCCGGATATCGGATATAAGTTCATCATACGAAATCTCTCTGTTGAAATATTGTAATTTTGTTCTATATATACCTAAATAGTGTAGATACCCCCAAACATACAAAACATATCCGAGTTAGTGTAGTGGTAACATAACTCGGTTTTATAAAGCTGAGGCGTCTTGAGATTCGGGGGGTTTCAGATGCCCCAGCTTTATATTGAGTAGCCCCAGGTTCGACTCCTGGATTCGGAATTTTATTTTTATTTTTTTTACTTTTTATATGAAGGACGCTGTCGGTATATCATGTGACCAACCTCATAAGGAGCCGTACTACTAGCGAACCTAGTCCTCTTCCCTTCAATATAAATAGCCCCCTTATTTTATAGAGTAGAACATAAGAATGAATAATATAATATACTATAATAGTATTATGCGAATAGTATCACCGAAGTGATACCAACAGAAGCTGATAACTATTTTTGAAATATAAGTGCAAGATTTCTACAAAGTGAGCATGTACTCATATACGATTACTATTTTTTCACGGAGTCCACGGTAAAACTAATAGCTCGAGGCTCTAATAAACAGGCTACCCCAGATTGTTCGCCTAATTCAGTTAGACAAGTGTGGTTTTTACCGAGCCCCCTATTAGCGCTGCGGTTCTTGGCAGCCCTAACATGGCATTTATCCAACCAAACAGCCTGGAAATTTGGCATTAAGATCTCCGACTACAAAAATGAAGCTGCGGTATGTACACAAATTACTCACCAGAGAGCGTGCTCAATTTTTCTGTTGTTTTTTCGAGGTTCTAGTGCCAATGTACGAAATGGTTGGCTGTCATTGACAAAATTCATCGAGATGATTAATTTTATGGATTGTGCCACTATGTAAGTTACACACCCTGGGGGCGCCTTCTCTATACTACTATACTCGAATCAAGGTTAGATTGTCCCGATATAAGTTATACCCCTGCTCGAAAGACCGAACTTTCTCCAGGGCTCTTTTTCATCTTTTCTTTCTTCTGGCTTGATGGAAATGGATTCTCAGCTATTGATTTTGGAGAGAATTTAAGGACCTTGTTGAAATTAATACCTATCTTTCGACAAAATTTCAACGAAGAAAGTACAAAAAACAGAATCATAACATTTTTATTGCTATGCCACGATGAAATTTTGACCAAGCACGAAAAGCTGGTGATGTAATATGGAAAGTGTTGAGCAGTTCAAGGGTCTAATATTAAATCAATATCAGGGGCTCATTATTTGTATATAGTAGGATCTTACAATTGTGATGTCTATCATTTCATATCTCTTCGTAACTACCATTTGTCCATAACTGATATGTGCCTGCCTGATGTATGATTTTAATGTGTGCCTGCTTGAATTTTCCCAATCCATGTGTACCTGCCCAATTTTTATATCATCAATGCCACAAGATCAATCATCCACCATGTAATTTCGGGCGCCCGGTATCACTCAAATCGTCGGTATAGGTCCCGATGGCTGTCTTTTATCGAAGATTTTGGTCGTATGATTGATCCGATAAAGTATATAGATTTTCCACAGAAAGGATATTGGGGAAGCACGGGAGGCAATCATTGAGAGATGGGATATATTCAGTAGTAAGGTTGTATGGTACAACCTTCAAGGAATTAAGGTGGTGGAAAGCTGGCCGTAATGGATAGCTTGTAGTTTCCTTGGAATTAAGGGGATGTGGTCTCCCAATTTTTTGCTTTATCCCTCCCTTCCATTTGAAGAGATCTTGCCACTGTTTAGAGTGGTCTAGCGCGGTTCAATGCCTGACCACCTCTAGATATTTGCTAGGTTTGAATGTTTTTATAAGCAATGGATATGTGGGTTTAAATACGAATCTAATGATATATCATTTGATCAATTTGATTGTATTGACCATTAAACAGATAATCAATATTATTCATGGTAGAATAGAATTCTGTAATTAATAACTTCGAGGATACTTCCCTTTTCTGTACGAGGAAGGTGCTATTCGTGTTTATCCGGCATCTTTCATACTTCCATTCTCTTATCTAACACCCTCAAGTATTATTCAGATATCAATTTGGTACATTTTAGCTATTTATATTTTCATTCTGAACCTTCATTCCCATTACATTCATGAATCAATGATATTGTAGCACATATATCAAAAAAAATACATTCATCGCTTGATTACTCTAAGTTTTCACTATTCCAGCTCCCTAAAATATCTCAACAAAGGGTCACTTCATCAATGTAAAGTCCAATCAACTGATAAAGCAGACTTGTGGTGGAGAAGGAATGCCACTAAAGTCGAACTTGACACTAGATTGTTCCACTCAATCAGCTACAGAATTTCATTTGAACATATATATTCCTGATTAACTCATTACAATAATATCCGAATTGGTGTAGTGGTCAACACGGCTCGACTTCATGTCCTAGGCTCAATGTTTCGTTGTATTCGAGGATGTTGAGCAAATGACAATTTCGGGCAACCCCAGGTTCGACTCCTGGATTCGGAATTATTTTTGCACCTTTCATACCTCTTGCTTTTTTGAAGAAGCTCTGTGGAAAGAGCTGTTTCTTTTTGAGGAAATATTTTAAGAAATGGGATAAGACGGGGAAGTGGAGGGGAAAGCTCCGTTTGCTAAAAGGGAGTAGCTTCCATGAAATATTAGATCGATAGATGTAAAGTTAATTTTGAAGGTTCAGATTACTTTCAATTCCCGAATAGGTTAGTTTAGCAAAATTATGGAAGAAGAAATAAATCTATATTGAATTCTAAGTGGTTATAAATGTCCAGATGGCTCTGAGTATTCAAGTACGATCGGTGGTAGAGATAGCGTCAAGTATTTCACGGGATTTGAACATTCATGTGACTTACACACTCTGATGTAATCCACTTTCGCGGCTTTTGACTTTAGTTCAAATGGAATTCGCCTTGATGTGAGTCCTGGTTCAAATAGAAATCGTCCTAATTTTGATTAAGTTAGTGACCTTCTGCGTACTTAAAAGAAGCATTCCCTCCCTGTCTTGCTGTAAATTTTTCTCTTCAGCGAATTTCAAACAACCTAAACCGAACAACCAACTGAGATTCCAAAGAAGACCCAAAAAAAACTCTTCAAACATGCTTAAGCTTAGTATTGAACAACGCAGAAAGATGTTTGCCAAGCTCATGAAATATGAGGAGGAGAGTAAGTTTCTCTCAAACATACCTCATCAACTCACTCAATGCTAACGTCCATATAGAAGAGGCAAAGGCGGAGGCGAAGGCAAAGATGGAGAAGGATGCCCGAATGAACCGGGTCGCTTTCGCGGAGTTACCGCTCTCCGAAAGGGATGTTGTCATGGCGGCTCAGGGGAGAATCGAGGCCCGGGACGACGTTGTTCCTTCCGCTGCATATTATGCGGCTCTTACCAAGGAGCAACGTGCGGAGATGTACAACGATTTGCTTCTCACCTCGGAGCCTGAGTTGTAGGTGTATGGTTGTTGTATGGATATGGGGGAAATTGTTATATTAAGATATCATGTAACCATATACAATGCAACCAAATCTCCGACCATTTTAATCTTTCCCCGTAACATATGTACTGCCTGAGTTCTGCCGTGATGAAAGTTCGCTGTTGCAGAGTACAACCCTAAAGCTAATTTTAAGCTAGTCCTAGCCCCTTCACTCGCTTAGCCCTAATCCCACACACCCCCATACTTTAGCACACACACCATCTATCTAACTTATTGAACTATCCATTCTATGACGCCATATTCTATAGCTCTAATGTCTAGACTAATTATGAAAGATTCCTTAGCCTGTTTAGCGAACGCTAACCCTACTGAATTACCACCTTGTTCTATGTACTCAAAGGCCGATGAGCGCTATAATTTATCGTGACAAAACACGGCAATATTTTTACCAGATTGCAAAGTTATCGCCTTTCACATACTCCATTATGAGGAGCACTGTAACACATCACCCGGTATCGGGATTTCAGTTCCCATCGCAATATCTTCCTCTTCATCTCACGCAGACTTTTGCCCCAGGTTTGGAAACATGTTAACCATGGAATAGTAAAATTATTGCACTACGCTAAATTAGGCTAGAACGTCTTATTGGGGTTTCAAGGATGGTAACGGTGGAAGTGTCTAGTGAGTTAATTTCTGCATTGGAAGACAAATATTGTAGGAAATTATTAATAACTATAAATCGGCGCAGACGGATGGCAGCTCTTGCCTACAGCATATACTATATGAATCTTTCACAAAGGGGATTTAATATGTTATTATGGGATACAAGTTTAAATTCGCAGTACATGTGCCGCGATCTCTCAATCGCGAGATTTATATTGGAAATATATGATGACCGGATATTTACTCCCTCGGGACTCCTGCCTCTTTTTCTCCGTCTCTTGCATTGTGTTTTTAAGAACAACTTCCTATCGTCCGCAGCATGTAGGGTCGTATTTTAATCAAAGATCATATGATCAGCATTTCGACATAGTGAAAAAAATTAAGGGAGCACAACGGCAGATACCTTATACATTGAAATTAATAGTAGGCCATATACAAGCCTTTGATCCGAACTGTATTATTTTCATCTTTAATAATTACTTCGAGTTAATAAAAGATAACCTTAAGCATCTATTTTAACATTCATATCTATCTGGCCTTCTTATAAACTTTCACTGGGATATAGCTAGCTAGTGTAGTCAAAGCGCGCATAGTCCTATAGATATTCAATAGCTGGAAGTGACTCTTCATTATAATCAGCTCGGGCCAGTTTCTTTTACAAATGGAATATGTGTTTGAATATTTTTCCACCAGTACCACTATTTTTAATTTTTTAACCGCTTCTATCCTACCTCGGTGAAAATTATAAAACAACGCAATGCCATTGCAGCAATCAAAAATTAACGAAACAAGTAATGATACAGCCCAAAGAACACATATTCCATTACATTCCTACCGAACTTCCTCGTTCCAGTTTAACTACCTCAAAATACCTATCTACACCCCCCCCAGCCCCCGCAGTACCTGATCCACTCCCCGCACTCTTGCCACCTCCCTTGGCAGTACTTCCCCCGCTATTCGCACTAGCATTACGTTTCTTAGCTCCTCCACCACCGGCATTACTGCTTCCGCTTCCAGATGTCTTGTTTCCTCCTTTCGTGGCGCGAGTTTGTATTTCATTTGTTTCTTCTGAATTATCATCGGCTGCGGTTACAGTTGGGGTGGCGGTGGGGAGAGTAGTGGTCTCGATA